ACTCAGAATATAGCACAGAAAGAGAAAAAAGAAAACACAAGAGTCCTGGGAGGACAGAGTAAAAAGGTCTTATATATATTTAACTGAAGACTCAGAAGGAAGGAGAATATGAATAGCATAGAGGTAATATCTGAAGGGATAATAGCTAAAGATTTTCTAGAAGTGGTGGAATACCAGTTCAGAGATTCATGAAGCTCAATAAATCCTAAGCAGGATAAAAAAGGATACCATCTTTAGATATATCACAGTGAAACTGCAGAACATAAAAACAGCAAGCTGAGGGAAAAACAGGTTACTTTTTAAAAAACAAAACAAATAAGCTTAATATCTGATTTCTTAACTACAGTGGAAACTCAAAGACTCATTTTAAGTGATGAATTCTACTCAATGGAGTCAAGGAAAGCTTCACATAAAACAAGCCAGGAAACGATTCCACAGGGCAGAAAAAACAAACAAACAAAAAAGCCAGGACAAAAAAAAGATAATTTGGGCGAAAGTAAAGGTAGATAATCTACATATATGACTAACAATTGCATGCTACATGGAAGTGTTCATTATTTTATTCACTCTTTTTCTATGTTTCTGCTTTCTCATTTTTAATATTAATAACAATAACATTTCATAAATGCCTACTATGTGCCTACTATTTGATCATTTAATCTTCATAATAAATCAATAAAAAAGAGATTACTATTTGCAATTCATATCTAAACAAACTAGGAGAGCGAGTGACTTGTCTCAAGTCACAAAGCTGTCATATGTTGAACACAAGGTTGAACTCAGCATGGATCCTTCACAATTTACCAGGCTGCCTTTTCTCTCTTTCTTCTTCTCTTTTATATTAAACCCACCAAGAATAAAACAGCATCTTTCCAGATGCCATTTCCTAAATGGCAATAAAGACAACATGTTTCTGAAGCAAAAAGGTAAGGATCTTAGCTGGCTCTTCTGAAGTACTAAATAATACTTGAGTAAAAATATAGCAATGGAATTTTTTGTAACAGTCTGAGAGACTGTTTGTTATAATTTCCGTTCTTTCGCATTTGCTGATGAGTGATTTGCTTCCAATTACGTGGTCACTTTTAGAGTAAGTGTGATGTGGTGCTGAGAAGAATGTATATTCTGTGGATTTGGGTGCAGATTTCTGCAGATGTCTATTAGGTCCTCTTGGTCCAGATCTGAGTTCAAGTTCTGGATATGATTGTTAATTTTCTCTCTCATTGATCTGTTTAAATACTGACAGTAGGGTTTTAAAGTCTCCTACCATTATTATGTGGGAGTCTAAGTCTCTTTGTAGGTCATTAAGAACTTGCTTTATGTATCTGGGTGCTCCTCTATTGGGGGCATATATATTTAGGATCATTAGCTCTCCTTTTACCATTATGTAATATCCTTCGTCTCTTTTGATCTTTGCAGGTTTAAAGTCTGTTTCATCAGAGACCAGGATTGCAACTCCAGCTTTTTTTTTAGCTCTCCATTTGCTTGGTAAATCTTCCTCCATCTCTTTATTTTGAGTCTATGTGTGTCTCTGCACATGAGATGGGTCTCCTAAACACAGCACACTGATGGATCTTGAGTTTTTGTCCAGTTTGCCAGTCTGTGTCTTTTGATTGGGGCATTTAGGCTGTTTACATTTAACATTAATATTGTTATGTGTGAATCTGTTCCTGCCATTTGTTACTGGCTGGTTGTTTTGCCCATTAGTTAATGCAGTTTCTTCATTGTGTTGTTGGTCTTTACCATTTGGTATGTTTTTGGAGTGGCTGGTACTGGTTGTTCCTTTCTGTTTAGTGCTTCTTTCAGGAGATCTTGTAAGGCAGGACTGCTGGTTACAAAATCTCTCAACAATTGCTTGTCTGTAAAGGATTTTATTTCTCCTTCACTTATGAAGCTTGGTTTGGCTGGATATGAGATACTGGGTTGAAAGCTCATTTCTTTAAGGATGTTGAATATTGGCCCTCACTCTCTTCTGGCTTGCAGGGTTTCTGCAGAGAGATCTGCTGTGAGTCTGATGAGCTGCCCTGTATGGGTAACCTGGCCTTTCTCTCTGGCTGCCCTTAGCATTTTTTCCTTCATTTCAACCCTGGTGAATCTGACGATTATGCACCTTGGGGTTGCTCTTCTTGAGGAATATCTTTGTGGTGTTCTCTGTATTTCCCGGACTTGAATGTTGGTCTGCTTTGCTAGGCTGGGAATGTTCTCCTGGATAATATCCTGAAGAGTGTTTTCCAGGTTGGATTCATTCTCCCCGTCACATTCCAGTACACCAATTAAGCACAGATTAGGTCTTTTCCCATAATCCCATATTTCTTGGAGGCTTTGTTCATTTATTTTGACTCTTTTTTCTCTAATCTTGCCTTCTCGTTTTATTTCATTGAGTTGACCTTCAATCTCTGATATCTTCTCTCCTGCTTGATCGATTTGGCTATTGAAACTTGTGCATGTTTTGCAAAGTTCTCGTGCTGTATTTTTCATCTCCATCAAGTCATTTATGTTCTTTTCTAAGCTTGTTATTCTAGTTAGAATTTCATCTAACCTTTTCAAGGTTTTTAGTTTCTTTGCATTGGGTTACAACATGCTCCTTTAGCTCAGAATAGTTTGTTATTACCCACCGTCTGAAGCCTGTGTCTGTCAGTTCGTCAAACTTATTCTCCATACTGTTTTGTTCCCTTGCTGGTGAGGAGTTGTGATCTCTTGGAGGAGGAGAAGTGTTCTGGTCTTTGATGATTTCATTCTTTTTGCACTGGTTTCTTCCATCTTCATGGAGTTACCTACCTTTGATCTTTGAAGTTGGTGATTTCGGATGGGGTCTCTGAGTGGACGTCCTTTCTGTTGACAGTGAAGCTATTTCTTTTTGTTTTTTAGTTTTCCTTCTAACAGTCAGGCCCCTCTGCTGTAGGACTGCTGGTGGTCCACTCCAGACCTTGCTTGCCTGGGAATCAACCATGGGGGATGCAGAACAGCAAGTATTGCTGCCTGATCTTTCCTCTGGTAGCTTCATCCCAGAAGGGTAACTGCCAGATGTCAGCCAGAGTTCTGTATGTGGCGTGTTTTTGGTTACACATTGGTTGATTAATCGCTTGAGGAGGCAGTCTGTCCCTTGTCTTCCTGCAGAGGCGCTGCTGGTCTGACACAGTCTCAGTCCAGCTGCTGTGAAGCTTTCTCTGGCTTTTGTTTACAGAGGTAAGATCAGCTATAGCAGATGCCCTTCTCCTCAATGAGCTCGATCATCTTGGGTTGAGCTTTAACTGATGTGCTGGCTGTGAAACTCTCAAGCGAGAGGGCTTCAGCTTGCTAGTAGTCTTTGTGGGGGTGGGACCCACCAAGCCGTATCACCTGTCTCCCTGCTTTCAGCTCCCTCTCTTTCTGGGGAGCGGGAAGTTCCATCCTGCAGGCGCTCTTGGTGCCAGTCAAAGCATCCGCTCACATCTGTGTGGACAACCCACTGCACAGACTGGAGCTGCTGCTCAGATCTGTGCTAGTAACTCATGGCGCTTTTCAGCCTGGTGGGGATCTCCTTGTTTGTGGGTTGCAAAGGCCATGGGAGAAGCACAGTATCTAAACTGGAGTACCGGAGGGGAAGAGTCCCTGATCCGCCATCCAGCTGCACTTCCTTGGGTGAGGCAGTGGCCAATCATTTTTTATATTATTTGGTATCTCTTCTAATTGATCATATATAGTTGATAGTCTCCTTGAAATATAATTTCAAAGAGGAGTACGGTAGTCTTGGCATGATATGTCCAATTTAGTACACAGGGAGAACTTCCTTGCTGTGCAACCTTGTCCAACCCACCTCATTTTGTTGTTGTTGTTGTTCTGTTTTGTTTTGGTTTAGGTTTTTAGCAACCTGATGCCATGGTTTTTAGTTTCTGTCACTAGTGATATGAGGAAAGGAGGGATAAGAAAGGGACTTTACTGGCCCAACCGGAAAGAGAAACTAAGAACCCATGACTGTATTCTCTCCCTTGGACACCCCTGCAAGACTCATTATTTCTATTAATACTATTTATTTATTTTATACTATTTATTTCTATTAATACTGTTTAAGACATCAATAGATATGGACAGTTGGGTCTGCCAGCATAACTCTTACTGACCTAATTCTTTTTCACCTTGGTTGCTGTTAAACTCATATACCTCTCACTCTATTTGTGCAGCTGTCCTTTTGGACATAGAGTTTATATTTCCCCTGATAAATTTCATCTTCTGAGACTTAGTTCATCTCCCCCGTGTGTCAAAAATTAATACTAGCTATAAGATTATAAATATAATATTTAATAAATTAATATTCATAAATATAAAAGTGAGACAATAACCAAAAATAATTAATAGAATATAAATAAAATACATATGAATATATTCTAAATGCTAAGTAAAAAAATATATCACCACTTAACACATACTTTTTGTAAATATGACTAACATTTTAGGGTAATCTCATAATTTATAATATTAAAAATAGTTAAACAGATCCCTTTAAGTTGAGGCCAATTTTTAGACCATGGAATTATATAAAAATTAATTCCAAGAGCCTAATTTCTTTTAAATATAGGTCACACGACTTCTCTATATGGAAAGCAGAGACTGACAGAGCAGCAAGGGAGAAGCAAAGAAACAGCACATGCTGTTCCTCTCTTTTTCGACCACTGTCCATACAGTGACCAACCGATTCACTTTCCTATGTTTCCAGGATCTCTCTAAGAGAAACAACAATAATATTTGTCTAAAAGTAAGAAATTATAAAACATAATTTTAAAAGCTTACTCTCTTCAGTAACTCTAATGCATAGCAAAGATCTTTTTATTTTTTTCATTTTTTTTTTAATTGCATTTTCTGTTTACAATAGCAAAGACCTGGAGCGAAGATCTTTTAAAAAACAATTTATCCTGTGATCCTAATTGCCCTTTTAACTTCCTAATGATGGCAACACAAATAAGGGCTATTAATGGGGATTATCTAATATTAGAATTTATAAATAGCTACTTGCAGTCTATACTCACCATCTATAATGGACATATTTCTAGATGTTGACACAGTGGTCTTTGAGTTTCTGCTACGAGTAGAAGTCTCCAGACCAGTGCCTGCTTTCAGAATAATGAACAGTCAATGTACAATCATATCAGCAACTAAGGTTTATTTCACAGAACGCCAAAAAATGAAAGCTAAATAGACTTATGTCAAACAGTTTGTCTGTAAAAAGCCAGACATATACATAAGAACAAACATCTAGAGTCTGACCAATTTTCAGAGATTGAAAATTCTTTTAGACCACATTTTAGTTAATATTTATCCAATTAAAATGTAAGCAAATAGGCCAGGAGTGGTGGCTTACCCCTGTAATCTCAGCACTTTGGGAAGCCGAGGCAGGAGGATCACTTGAAGTCAGGAGTTCAAGACCAGCCTGGCCAATATGGTGAAACTCCATCTCTACTAAAAATACAAAAATTAACCAGGCATGACAGTGGGCACCTGTAATATCAGCTACTTGGGAGGCTGAAGCAGAAGAACTGCTTGAACCTAGGAGGCAGAACAGTGAGCTGAGATTGTACCACTGCACTCTAGCCTGGGTGACAGAGCAAGATTCCATCTAAAAAAATATAAGAAAATAAAAAATTTTAAGGAAAAATTTTGTAAATGTTAAGAATAGTGAAAATAATCATCATTAAAAGACAGAGATTTCTCTCCCTGGAGATTTTAAATCAAATTACTATTCATTTCACCAACTTAAAATTCCTATGGATACATATTTAATAAAAATTTTTTTAATCCTTAGAGATGAATTGACATAATGTGTGAGAAAGTCTCTGAATGACCAATTTCTATTGGCTTGAACTATTCAATGACAATAGTCTCACAGTAAACACAATGATGACAATGTTAATGACTACTTTTGGAAATCAATTTGGAGGCAGTTTTCCTTCTTAAACTGACTTGATCAAGATATTTGATAAGCATGTGGGTATTTGTATCTTATGACCGTAACAAAAAAAATAATTTTATGATCTCAGTTTTCTTCCTGTTGCCAAAGGCTTTTAGCTAACTATTTTCTTTAACAACTCATATTTGCCTATTACTTTGTACATATGAGAATACATATGACATAAAATGTACCCAAAAGGTACTGTGTGACAAACACAGTGAAGCTTTTATAAGGTATGTGTTAAAGACAATTAAAACCCTAAGTGCATATGGCCATTCAAAATTTATTTAAGTAAAAGGCACACGTGAGAACTGCCTTAAAGACTGTCTTTATATATTACAAAAATAGATTTTTAAAGAACCATGTTTTAGAAATAAAAACCTATAATTCAATTCTGATGAGATCCAATTCTATATTTTCCACTCAACTGCCAAGTCTGAATGTGCATACGACTAAACTCAGTGCTTACCTCTTCCTCTTTGAGACACTCCTCTAGATGCTGAATTCTGCCCTCTTCCTCCTCTTCGACCTCTTCCTCGGCCTCTTCCTTTGCTGGCTGCTCCTGAGATGCTATCATCAGAGTCATCAGCCATCTGTTCTGCTAAACCTATACTCATAAGGTCATCAGCACTAAAGGCAGAAGCAGACTCTTCTGACTGAGATCTAAGCGCTCTGGCCCTGTTGATAGCCTAAGAGGGAGAAGAAAGAGAAAGTACATACAAGCAGATAATGCACTATCCTACAAATAACTAATTTAGGCATTGAGATGAACTAATCATGCTATAAAAAGATAAAGGAGGCTGGCAAGGTGGTTCACGCCTGTAATCCCAGAACACTGGGAGGGTGAGGCAGGAGGATGCCTTGTGCCCAACAATTCAAGACAAGCCTGGGCAACATGGGGAAACACTGTGTCTACAAAAAAAAATACAAAACTTAGCCAGGCATGGTGGTGTGCGCCTGTAGTCCCTGCTACACAGGAGGCTGAGGCAGGAGGATCACTTAAGCTGAGGAGACAGAGGCTGCAGTGAGCTATAATCACACCACTCCACTCCAGCCTGGGTGACAGAGAGAAAGCCTGTCTCAAAAAATAAAAACAAATTTATTTATATATGTGTAAAGGAGAACCTCCTCACCAATCAAATTTAATGCTTATTATCTGTCAGATCAATCTACCATCCTACCTGTAAAATGAGACCCTTTGGAAAGGTTTACCAAGAAGAATAAAATCTCACAGAATCAAAACTTCCAGAACTAGAAGGAATACTGGCAATCACCCCTAATTCAATACGACATTTGACCATAACAGCCTGTCATCATTTGAGCTACTTTTGAGAATAGGCTCCTAGTAAATAACAAGGAAAAAAATTACAAAAAATAGCTGTTATCTCTGGGCAGTAAAATTTTAGGGTGCTTCCATTTTTCATTCTTGAATATTACATATTTTCCATAACATGCTTTTTCTAAAAAATTACTTTTGTAATCAGAAAAAACATGAGCAACAATGTCTTACAAATATATGCTAAAGAAAGGGCTGGGCATGGTGGCTCACACCTATAATCACAGAACTTTGGGAGGCCAAGGTGGGTAGACTACTTAAGATCAGGAGTTAGAGGCCAGCCTGGGCAACATGGCCAGAACTTGTCTCTTAACAAACTACAAAAATAGAAAAAAGGCTCCAAAAAATAGGGATTATGTGAAAAGACCTAATCTACGTTTGATAGGTGTACCTGAATGTGACGGAGAGAATGAATCTAAGCTGGAAAATGCTCTTTAGGATATTATCCAGGAGAACTTCCCCAAACTAGCAAGGCAGGCCAGCATTCAAGTCCAGGAAACACAGAGAACACCACAGAGATATTCCTCAAGAAGAGCAACCCCAAGGCACATAATTGTCAGTTTCACCAGAGTTCAAATGAAGGAAACAATGCTAAGGGCAGCCAGAGAGAAAGGTTGGGTTACCCAAAAAGGGAAGCCCAGCAGACTCAGAGTGGACCTCTCGGCAGAAACCCTACAAGCCAGAAGAGAGTGGGGACCAATATTCAACATCCTTAAAGAAAAGAACTTTCAACCTAGAATTTCATATCCAGCCAAACTAAGCTTCATAAGCGAAAGAGATACAATCCTTTACAAACAAGCAATTGCTGAGAGATTTCGTCACCACCAGGCCTGCCTTACAAGAGCTCCTGAAAGAAGCACTAAACAGAAAGGAACGGCCAGTAGCCGGCACTCCAAAAACGTATTGAGTGGTAAAGAGCACTGACACAATGAGGAAACTGTGTCAACTAATGGGCAAACAACCAGCTAGCATCAAAATGGCAGGATCAAATTCACACATAACAATATTAACCTTAAATGTAAATGGGCTAAATGCCCCAATCAAAAGACACAGACTGGCAAATCGGATAAAAAATCAAAACCCATCGGTGTGCTGTATCCAGGAAACCCATCTCATGTGCAGATATACACATAAGCTCAAAATAAAGGGATGAAGGAAGATTTACCAAGCGAATGGAGAACAAAAAAAAGCAGGAGTTACAATCCTAGTCTCTGATAAAATAACTTTAAACAAATGAAGATCAAAAAAGACAAAGAACCAATGAAGATCAAAAAAGTCAAAGAAGGACATTACATAATGATAAAAGGATCAAAGAGCTAACGATCCTAAATATATACGCACCCAATACAGGAGCATCCAGATACATAAAGCAAGTTCTTAATGACCAACAAAGAGACTCAGACTCCCACACAATAATAGTGGGAGACTTTAACACTCCACTGTCAGTATTAGACAGATCAACGAGACAGAAAATTAACAAGGATATCCAGGACTTGAACTCAGATCTGGACCAAACAAACCTAATAGACATCTACAGAACTCTCTACCCCAAATCCACAGAATATACATTCTTCTCAGCACCACATCACACCTACTCTAAAATTGACCACATAATTGGAAGTAAACCACTCCTCAGCAAATGTAAAAGAATGGAAATCATGACAAACAGTCTCTCAGACCACGGTGCAATCAAATTAGAACTCAGGATTAAGAAACTAACTTAGAACTGCAGAACTTCATGGAAACTGAACAAGTGGCTCTTGCATATTGACTAGATAAACAATGAAATGAAGGCAGAAATAAAGATGTTCTTGGAAATCGAGAACGAAGACAACGTACCAGAATCTCTGGGACACATTTAAAGCAGTGTCTAGAGGAAAATTTATAGCAATAAATGCCCACATGAGAAGCACGGAAAGATCTAAAATCAACACCCTGTCATCAAAATTGAAAGAGCCAGAGGAGCAAGATCAAAAAAATTCAAAAGCTAGCAGAAGACAAGAAACAAATAAGATCAGAGCAGAACTGAAGGAGATAGAGACACAAAAAACCCTTTGAAAAATTAATAAATCCAGGAGCTGGTTTTTTGAAAAGCTCAACAAAATAGAACACTAGCCAGATTAATAAAAAAGAAAAGAGAGAAGAATCAAATAGATGCAATGAAAAACGATTAAGGGGATATCACCACTGATTCCACAGAAATACACACTACCATCAGAGAATTACTACAATCAACTCTATGCACATAAATCAGTAAAGCTGGAAGAAATATATAAATTACTGGACACTTGCACCCTCCCAAGCCTAAACCTGGAAGAAGTCGAAACCCTGAATAGACCAATAATAAGGGCTGAAGTTAAGGCAGTAATTAATAGCCTACCAACCAAAAAAAGCCCAGGTCCAGATGGGTTCACAGATGAATTCTACCAGACATACAAAGAGGAGCTGGTACCATTCCTTCTGAAACTATTCCAAACAATCCAAAAAGAGGGAATCCTTCCCAAATCATTTTATGAGACCAACATCATCCTGATATCAAAACCCAGCAGAGACTCAACAAAAAAAAGAAAACTTCAGGCCAATATCCACGATGAACATAGATGCAAGAATCTTCAGTAAAATACTGGCAAACCAATTGCAACAGCACATCAAAAAGCTTATCCACCATGATCAAGTAGGCTTAATCCTGGGGATGCACGGCTACTTCCACACATGCAAGTCTATAAACGTAATTCACCACATGAACAGAACCAAAGACACAAACCACATGATTACCTCAATAGATAAAGGGAAGGGCTTCAACAAAATTCAACAGCCTTTATGCTAAAAACTCTCAATAAACTAGGTATCAATGGAACGTATCTCACAGTAATAAAAGCTATTTACAAAATCACAGCCAATATCATACTGAATGGGCAAAAATGGAAGCATTCCCTTTGAAATCTGGCACTAGACAAAGATGCCCTCTCTCACCACTCCTTTTCAATATAGTATTGGAAGTTCTAGCCAGAGCAAGGAGGCAAGAAAAAGAAATAAAGGTTATTCAATTAGGAAAGGAAGAAGTCAAATTGTCTCTATTTGCAGACGACATGATTGTATATCTAGGAGACCCCATCGTCTCAGCCCAAAATCTCCTGAAACTGATAAGCAACTTTAGCAGTCTCAGCATACAAAATCAACGTGCAGAAATCACAAGCATTCCTATACACCAATAACAGACTTAAAGAGAGCCAAATCAAGAATGAACTGCCATTCACAATTGCTACAAAGAGAATAAAATACCTAGGAATACAACTAACAAAGGATGTAAAGGATCTCTTCAAGGAGAACTACAAAACACTGCTCAAAGAAATAAGAGGACATAAACCGATGGAAAATATTCCATGCTCATGGTTAGGAAGAATCAATAGCGTGAAAATGGCCATACTGCCCAAAGTAATTTACAAATTCAACGCTATCCCCATCAAGCTACCCATGACCCTCTTCAAAGAACTGGAAAAAACCACCTTAAATTTCATATGGAACCAAAAGAGAGCCCACAGAGCCAAGTCAATTATAAGCAAAAAGAACAAAGCTAGAGGCATCAAGCTACCTGACTTCAAACTATACTAAAAGGATACAGTAACTAGAACAGCATGGTACTGGTACCAAAACAGAGATATAGACCAATGGAACAGAACAGAGGCCTCAGAGGCAATGCCACACATCTACAACCATCTGATCTTTGACAAACCTGACCAAAACAAGTAATGGGGAAAGGATTCCCTGTTTAATAAATGATGTTGGAAAAACTGGCTAGCCGTGTGCAGAAAGCAGAAACTGGCACTAAAATTAACTCCAGATGGATTAAACACATAAAATAAGACCTAACTCCACAAAAACCCTAGAAGAAAACCTAGGCAAAACCATTCACGACATAGGCATAGGCAAAAGCTTCATGACTAAAACACCAAAAGCATTGGCAACAAAAGCCAAAATAGACACATGGGATCTAATTAAACTCCAGAGCTTCTGCACAGTAAAAGAAATAATCCTTAGAGTGAACCGGCAGCCAACAGAATGAGAAAAAATTTTTGCAATCTACCCATCTGACAAAGGGCTGATATCCAGAATCTACAAAGAACTAACGCAGATTTACAAGAAATAAACAAACCCATTCAAAAGTGGGCGAAGGATATAAACAGACACTTTGCAAAAGAAGACATTTATGAGGCCAACAAACATATGAAAAAATGCTCACCATCACTGGTAATCAGAGAAATGTAAATCAAAACCACATGGAGATATTACCTCACGCCAGTTAGAATGGTGATCATTAAAAAATCTGGAGGCAACAGATACTGGAGAGGATAAGGAGAAATAGGAACACTTTTACACTGTTGTTGGGAGTATAAATTAGTTCAACCATTGTGGAAGACAGTGTGGTGATTCCTCAAGGACTTAGAAATAGAAATTCCATTTGACCCAGCAATCCCATTACTGGGTATACACCCAAAGGATTATAAATCATTCTATTATAAAGACACATGCACACATATGTTCATAGTGGCACTATTTACAATAGCAAAGATGTGGAACCAACCCAAATGCCCATGGATGATAGGCTGAACAAGGAAAATAAACCATGGAATACTATGCAGCCATAAAAAACAACGAGTTTGTGTCCTTTGTAGGGACACGGATGAATCTAGAAACCATCATTCTCAGCAAACTGACACAAGAACAGAAAATCAAACACTGCATGTTCTCACTCATAGGTGGGTGTTGAACAATGAGAAAACATGGACACAGAGAGGAGAGCATCACACACTCAGGTCTGTTGGGGAGGACTATGGGAGGGACAGTGGCGGGTAGGGAGTTGGGGAGGGATAACATGGGGAGAAATTCCAGTTACAGGTGACGGGGATGGAGGCAGCAAACCACCTTGCCATGTATGTACCTATGCAACAATCCTGCATGTTCTGCACATGTACCCCAGAACCTAAAGTACAATAAAATATATTTTTAAAAAAAGGAGAAACGAAATAAAGCCTGTCCAAGTATTAGCATGAAGATAGATTAATATATCAATAGATTTCAAATAAAACAACATCATAATAAATAAATCTAATCACTGGGTCTTTGGGACAAAACAATAACATTAATAAAAATCACCACATAGCTTTAAAGAAAGGAAGAAAACACAAATATACATCACTAGAAATAAGAAGGACCAGCATAGAGGCTCACACCTCTAATTCCAGGACTACAGCTGTAGAGGCTCACACCTCTAATCCCAGAACTTTGGAAGGCCAAGTCAGGAGGATCACTTGAGCCCAGGAGTTAAAGACCAGCCTGGGCAACATAAGAAGATTCCATCTATGTAAAAAAAAAATTTAAAAATTGGCGGGGAATGGTAGCACACTACAGAATGAGACCGTGTCTTGAAAAAAAGAAGTAAGAATGGGAGGGAATCCTCAAGACTTAGGAGAGAATGCTCAATTCTAAATAATCTGGAAAATGAATACCTTAATCTGACCCAAGGGAAAAAAAGAAACATAGGTTCAACAAACCAATTATCAAAGAAAATTTTGAGAAAATTATTAAAAGAAAAATACTCCTAAAAAAGAACCACAATCAGAAAGTTTCATAGGTAAATTCTACCAAACTTTCAAAAAACAGATAAGTCCACTGCTATTTCAATAGTGCCAGAGCATACAGAAAGACAGCTTCCAAATTGTTTTCACAATGATAACACCAGTATGACACAGTACTGACAAAGAACTTCATGTACAAAAAGAAAATTACAGAATATTATTTATGATTAAGAAAGCAAACAGGGGGACTCCAGAAGCATATGGAAAGACCAGTATATCCATAACCAGGGGGTTTACAAAGTGATACCAGGATGGTCTATAATAAGTTATATATATAAGATATATATACATATATGTATATAAAATTCACTATATTAATAGAACAAAGAAAGAAAAAACCCAAATATTTATCTGCACATATACAGAGCCATGTAATTCATCAATCATTCCTGATTTAAACAAGGCTGAGAAATACGTAAATATTTTCTTCATGTGTCAAAAACCCTAAATATGCTTATATTACTATGTGTATGTATCCCAAAGTGCTGGGATTACAGGTGAGCCACAATGCCTGGCCTAAAAGACTTTAAGGCATAATGTTTTTTCTCCAAATAGAAGAGCTAATACTCGTTTGTCTGTTTAAGTAATTTAAGCATGGTGTTAGGATTCATATTCTAGGCCAAATGATTCTGCAAAGCTGTGAATTACAGCTTGGCAGCATGTCAGACTCCATTTCCTAAGTTCTAAATAGTATGCAGAAAATGAAAAAAATTATAACATTCTATGGCATGCTGAAAAATTACCTAGGAAGCCCCGATTACATTTTAACGTTAAAATATAGCTGAATATCTGAACTCCTAAGTTATTTCTTCTGTAAAACTCCCATTTGAAATTTGTCACCGCCTCTCCTACCTTCCTTGTATAAGATGTTCACTCTTATGCTTTTAAAAGCTTAATGAAAAACTGAGTTTTTTGGCTTCACACATAAAGAACTCATTCAAAAGTAAAGAAACATTGCTGTACCTTGTTAAATTGAAATGGTTAATCAAATTTAAGCCAGATTTTAAGAAACAGGAATCATTTCTTCCTTGCATTTATTCTTGCAATTTGGCAAACTATTTCTATTTTAAGTGTGCCTTATAAGACGAATATAAATAAAATAAATGTGTTAAGGCATTTCTAATCTATAACTTCTTTTCGTTAGCTTCCAAAAAACAACCTGCAAAAGATATAGTGGTGATGTGCTGCATGATAGTTTTAGAAGTTTTTCATTTTTAGAAAACCATTCATTTGCAATGCACTGAATTAATATCATAATAATCTAAAATGTTGATAGGACATAGGATAGAAAAGCCTAGAATTGGAGCCAAAAATATGTTCAAATTCTACCCCACTATATGACTTTGAGTCTGTTCTGTCTGCTCATTTACAAAACGGGCACCTAGGAAAAGTAATTCAATATACATCTTCTTTACACACATGTCTCTTACCTAGTAAATTGAGAAAATCTTCTGGATACAGACCATAGCTTTTTTATACGTACAGTCCTAATATAAAGCAGAATATCTAACCCATAACAGGGACTATGCAGAATGTCTGCTGAATAAACGCAATCAAGACAAAACTAACAGTACATAATTTACAAGATAACTTTTAAATACTAGATAGCAATGATAAAACACTAAGAACAATTAGAAAATAAGAAAATACATTTCAATCATAAATTCACCAAGTACCAGGTAGAGGCCTCAAGTTTAAATGAAGAGTTGCTAACTTGTAGTTTCAATCCTGCAATGAGACTGACAAGACTGTGATGATGATGCTTAAGTTAATTTTAATATTTTAGAATAGATAACAGAAACTATTTATCCATGCTTGCTTAGTCATGGTTAACATTGGTAACCAACACATTTTAAGTTTCTTTTTTGCCCAAAATAATATCAGCTCAGTAAGATAAGATTTTATCTATAAGGTGCTCTGGTAACAATTAGATATTATATTGAGTAATAGGGGCTTTTGCTGTACATATCCCCACACGCATACAATTAAATAGGTTTTATTTATTTTTATTTATTTATTTTAAAGACAGGGTCTTGCTCTTTTGCCCATGCTAGAGTGCGATGGTGCAATCATAATATAGCCTTGAACTCCTGGGCTCAAGCAATCCCCTACCACCTTAGCCTCTCAATTAGCCAGGACTATAGGTGTGAGCCATTGCACCTGCTAAACAGGTTTTAGACAAGGGCAAAAGGGAAAAAAAGAGCAATGAGCAGAATATTTGTAGGCTGAACTGAAATCAATCAAAGGCAACTATCCTAAGCCAACCCCAGCACACTCCAAACCACCAAACCTACGGACGGACTATTCTAAATAAACCTACTAGTTATTCTAATTTAAGGAAGTGACATATAAACATAGGAATTTATAGCAGAATAATTACCTCACGGACTTCATCATCTTCTTCATTAGTATTTTTTTGTCTGCTTTCTCTGAAACGACGTACCTAGATCATGACAGAGTAAATCACAAACATGTTGCTTATTCCAGTTACGTAAATATAAAACAAGGGGCTACAATTAAGAAATGCTTTATGTTATAACACAAAACTTGGAAATTTAACAATCTGTCTCACAAAAGAGTAAATAAATTATATCTTTCCAATTACTTATATTAAAATTGCAGAATGTACTCTTAAAAAAAAAACTCATATTGACCCGAAGCAAAATTATATTATATTACCTCCTGCCAAAATGTTTCACATCACTGAAAATCTTTCAGACTGCAGAGGCAAAATTCTAATACCCCATGGGTGTTACACTTCAGTAAAATTAGTTAAAAACAAAAATATCTCCTTGATAAGCCTTGAAATATTTATTATATTGCAAATGACTCTTGTGCACCTGGCTGCAAGACAATCAGGAGGCTCTATGAAATGGGATCTGAAGTGGGTAGCCCCTAAAAATCCATTTTTATTAATAGTCAACTCCTGAAGGTTTGCTAAGCATGGTACCTGGTTCTTATTTAATGGTTCCTGTTCACAAGGCTCTTAATATACATCTAGGTAGTTAAAGACAAGCCCATTTATTTAAATAATCTACTCAGCACATATTTACTGAGCACCTTCTATGTGCCATGCACTATCATAGAAACTGAGAATACAGTTATTAACAAAACAGACAAAAACCTGCTCTCATGAAATCTATGATCGAGTGTATACATGACAGAGGGAACAGTAACTAAGATTCCAATGTAAGGGGCTGGAGCAATTAGAGGAATCAACAAAAGACACTGAAAATATGCAGCCAGTGAGGCAGGAAGAAAACAAGAAGAGTCTTGTATCTTGAAATCCAGCAAATAACTGTTTCAAGAGAAGGCTGAGTGAGATGTAAGATAAAAAACTGACGGTGGATTTAGCAATCGCAGTCCCTGGTGACCTTGACAAGAGCAACTTCACTGGAACGATGGGATCAAAATCCTGAGTGGATAGATTTCAAGAGAAAAAGGAGAGAGAAGAATGAGGCAGCAAATACAGAAAACTCTTTGAAGCGATGCTGCTCTAGAAGAGGAACAAAGAAACAGAGCAGTAAAGGAAAATGGGATTGAGAGTTTTGTTTGTTTCTTAAGCTGAAGGAAATGAAAGCATGTTTGTTATGATTGGTAGAGGAAAAACACAAGAATAAAAACATTTTAAAAGATGACATAGTATGTAATACTGCCCTAGGTGATCTGTAGCATACCAAAGGTGCTAAGCCATTCACAGAAGGGAAATGAGAGTCAGAGTAAAAACAATGAACAGGCCCTAGGGGTCAGACCGTATTCTAAGAATTCTACATGGATTAATTCTTTTAATGTTTACAGCAATCTTGAAGGAGGACCTATTATCATCACCATTTTATCCTCAGATAAGGATACTGAGGGATAGGTGGGTTTAGATAACTCAATAATGGGTACACAGCTAATAAGTGTTTTGATTTTGAACACAGTTGGTCTGGTCCAGAGCAACCATGACTGACACACACACACACACACACACACAAACACACACACCATACACACACACCATATACACATACCCACATACACATCACACACACTCTCCCCCACACACACACCACACACACACTTTACTACTCAGTTGGTCTGGTCCAGAGCAACCATGACACACACACACACACACACACACACACACGCACCACACAGACACTTTGCTGCTCAGGAGTCATAATGTCACTCCAGGTGGAGATGGTCATATTTTATTTCTGGTAGGTACCTGAGAAATCTATTTATGCTATAAATTGGCAAACCCTACATATCCAGAGTCATAGAGTGAATGGTTTTAAGAGGGTGAACTGCCTGTCCTACCTCTGGAAGTACTTGGCATTAAATAATATTAGTTACACATTGGCACCATAAGGCTTTAAGAGAACCATTTTAACCAAAAGCACTAAAATAAGGGAATGAGTTTGTTTTCTTTTAAATGATACCGTTTTATTCTTCTGCTTAGGGGGAATTAGGAAAATAGAGAAAGTGATTCCCTGTAATACAACTACCTTGACATAACTGTTGATAATATATCTGGGATATTTTCTTTATTTACATAAACATACACAATTACATATAAAATAAAAATAGCTGACATCATACTATTCACAGTTTTTCATCTTTGAAATTCTCTTCCCACTTAACATTATCTTAGAAATATCTTCTCATGTTCTTCTTCCAAAATGTTATTTTTAAGCACTGTGTAAAATTTTATATGGTATATGTGCCAACATTTATTGTAACCATTTCCAATTATTCCCCACTACAAACAACACTAAGATGAATCACTCCATACACAAATCTCTATCTCACGATTTTTGTATGGAAATTTACCAGGCTGAGTTAAAAGGTAAAACTTAAGCCTCTTAATATACACTGCCAAACTGCTTTTCAGTAAAGCTGTTGAAATGTTATGCTCCTACCAGCAGTGTGCTAGATACTATTTTCTCAAATTGCTGCCAATTTGACAAACAAAAGATGTATTCGAGCTTCTTTGACTATCCTAGGCTAAACACCATTTTCATATGCTTATTAGCCATTTATAATTCTTTTATGAACCACCTATTCATGTCCTCTGTTCCTTTTTCTATCAAAATGTTTAATTATTTTTAAGATTCCTAAGAGCTCATTAATATCATATTAAAAATATTAATCTTTTTTCTGCCCACATACAAATATTTTCTTCATATCTTTTAATTTTGTTTCTTGGCAATGTGATACGCAAACATTTAAAATTTCTATGTAGTCAAGTCCAGACAGCTTTTCCTATGATTATTCCACTGCTTCTTGGTTAGAAAAAATTTTCTAGATGAAATTCAAGATCTCAATCAAAACTTACTAAAAAATTAAAATGAACAGAAATTACCATGCTACAAGTTCATTTTAAAGTCCTTTCAGGATCTTCAAGAGATGATACTATCCACGGGGAACAAAACACTTATTTAGTACCAACCATATGCAAGACTCTGTTGTAGGCATTTTCTTCATTGCCTAATTTAATCTTCATTTTATTATTTCAATTTTACAGATATGAAAACCAAACAAATCAGAAAGGTTAAAAAGTGATTTACCCGAGAAAAAAATCCCAGAGCTACTCTTAAATAGAGAATATTTAAATTGACCTAGATACTCAAATTAGTTACTTACCTCCTCATCGATTTTGTCTTCTAGGACATCAATATGACGTTCTTTAAGAAATCGCTGTGTTTTTTCCAACTGGTATTTCACTAATTCCTCAATGGCATCTTTCTCCTCCTTGTCCACAAATTCTTGTACTGCTTCACCCATCCCTCTTTCTGTTAGTAGTGAGAGCTGCACATTCTGTAAGAGACATACAAAATCACTGGATGCAGAAATAGCACCTATACTGCAAGGAAAATTACTGAATATGTTATCAGGGAAAAAAATACAGGACTGGTAAAATGTAGAGGCCTGATGGCTGGGACACTGGGTCCAAAAACGGCAGCTATGATTAACAATGAAATTAACCAGTGTGGTTGGCAAAACAAAAGCACCATAAATATGTCCACTTCTTAATCTCTGGGACCTGTGATACATGGCAAAGAGGAACTAAGGGTGCTAATCAGTTGTCTGTAAAATAGGGAGATTATCAGAGACTATCCAGGTGGGCCCAGTGTAATCACCAGGGTCCTGAAAAGCAGAAGACAGAGGCAGATGGGAGCTGAAAGGAAAAATAACTGTGGGGAAATGGTTAGAGAGAGACAACATTGCAGGATTTGAAGATAAAAGGGGACCAAGAGCCAAGGAATGAAGGAGGTACCTCTAGAAACTGGAAAAGGTAAGGAAATAGATTCTCCCTTAGACCCTCCAAAAAGGGAGACAGTCATGCCAAAACCTTGATTTCAGTCCTGTGTAAAATTTCTGACCTACACGACTGTAAGATAATAAATTTGTGTTGTTTTAAACCACTAAGTTTGTGGAAATCTGTTTCAGCACCAATAGGAAACTAATACAACCCAAGGACCTTAGAGTGGCATATACTCATGACAGTTAAGTTTCACTGGCTTCACCATCATTTGGCTGTCTTTGTTTGCAGAATTCTAATTACATCCAAATATGAGAAAACTAAATCTGGATTGAGACCTTTGCAACAGAGACACAAAATAAAATAAGAGAATAACAACATCAACAATAACAGTTATGTTAATAATGGTATTCATAGTTAACACTAATTAAACACTAATTTTTTTTGGTGTGCAGCAACTACAAATGAATTGTCACCCTACTTCCTTCTAAGTTTCTCTTACGAATGTCCCTGATTTAACAGTTTATTCATTTAGTTTAATAATTGCAACGGAGAGACAAAGAGAATAACATCAACAATAATGGCTACATTAATAACGGTATTCATAACATTAATTAAACACTAATTTTCCCTGATGTGCAGCAACCGCAAATGAATGTAATTGTCACCCTACTTACCTCATAGAAACATTTTGAGGATTCATTTTGTTTAAACTATCAACTAAACATATCCTATATTAAAATCTGTTACTATAAGGTAGCCATTATTCAAAATGTGAACTGTAAGAATATTACCTTCTCTGCGGTTTGAAAATACTGTTTTACAAGGTCTTCTACCCTTAAAGTTGTTCCTTCTGAAGAAGGTTTTGTGATAAGTTTCCCAAAGTTGATCTCTTCTCCTAGAAAAAAAGCAGTATATAAAAAAAAAAACCTTCTATCATAATGTTAAAGTGGCCACACTCATTCCAAGTTGTCAGTGGAGAAGGTAAGGCCGAACTTTACCAACGGCCAGCTTGCTCAACATGGTAAGTTTTCAGGCAAAACAAGCCATTTTTGTTAATAGCCATGGACTTTTCCCTACAGTCAGTATTCCTTGTCTGTACTCCAGGTAAAAAGTCTCTTGCAGCTGTTCTCACCGGGTGAAGCACAGACTTCTGGAGGTCCTCAAGTCCCTTTCAGGGGTAATAATGTCAAAAATACTTTCATAATAGTCCTAAGATGTTATTTGCCTTTTTGCTGTCTGCCATCATTGTTACACTGATGATGAAAAAGCCATCGTGGGTACTGCTTGTGCCTTGCGATGGGTCAAGGCAGTAGCACAAAACTCTACTACAAATAGTAGTCACGACCATGTACTCATAACCCAATATACAACAAGCCACTTTCACTTAAGAATGTCCCTGATTTAACGGTTAAAATTATTAATTTAACTAAATCTCTGCCCTTGAGCACATATCTTTTTAACATCCTGTGAGACAAAGGGGAAGTATGTTTAATGCACTTCTGCTGCATTACAAAGCAAGATGAATGTCTCAAAACCAGTAGGCACACACTAGAAAGAGCACTGGGTATGAAGTTAGGAAGCGTGGAGTCCTGTATTTGCTCTGCCAATAACCCTTGTCAGGTAAATGAATGTCAAGCATCTACAAGTGTTAAAAATCCAATGATGAAAAAGATAGAATCCCTGCCCATAAGAAAAATGACTACAATACAAGGTGGTAAGTGCTCCCAAGAATATAACACATAGAGAAGAAAGCAATTAATTCTTCTCAAAGAAGGCAGAAAATCACGTATAGGTATCAAACGCAGCTGTCATTTGAATCAAGACTTGCAGAATGATTAACATTCACTGAGCAAACCAGGGAGAAAAAAATTTCAGGCAGAAAAGACCTAGAAGGGAACGAGACACAGAGTTCAGTTTTTCTTGTCAAATGGCAGGACAGGTGAACAAAAATCTCTTTTGAATTTCAAAGCAGGAGAGTTAATATTACTAAATAAACATGATTACTACATTTTACTATTCCAGACACTACGTTAAGAACATTTACACACAGTGTATCATCTAATCCTCACAACAATCCTGTGAGACCAGGATACTTCTTAGCCTGATTTTAGAGATGAGAAAACTTGGCAGAGGTTTAGTAATTTGCATGCTGTAGTTAAGTAGCAGAGCTGGCAAAGCAACCGAAAATGCTTTCAATAAAACACACAAAAATGCCATTGTTTCCACTGAGCAACTTGGGTTTACACAAAATTTTAGAAATCGCTAGAACAAAACTCACTACAGATGAAACTCTTGAAAGTTATTTGTATATTCTAGTTGTGTATTCTGTTTTTCTTCTAAACGTTATACCCATAAAATTTCAAGCAATTGATGTAGATGCATAATCTATTGCAAAACGGAAATAAACCATTATCAAGAAACAACTAAATCAAACTTGTAACACAAAAATATAATTCTCTGATATGGATTTCACCCTCCTAAAGCAGTATTATATGAGCGCTACTTGAATATCTGAATGATTGTTTCAGGTTGAATTCACAGCATACCCAATATCTGATTATAATTTGACAGCAAAAATAGAAGCCCATTAAATTTAGGCTCATAAAAAGCTAGGTAGCTTACTTGTAAACAAGAGCCATACATTTCTATAAAAATTATCTGACTCAATAACTCTAATAAGAGTCTCTTTATTTCACATGTACAGTACTTCTTATGAAAAAGCACTATTTCAGTCAGATGACCCTTTTTTTTTTTTTTGAGACAGAGTCTCATTCTGTCACCCAAGCTGGAGTGCAGTGGCACAATCTCAGCTCACTGCAACCTCCGCCTCCCAGGGTCAATGGATTCTCCTGCCTCAACCTCCTGAGTAGCTAGGATTACAGGTGCGTGCCAGCACGCTGGCTAATTTTTGTATTTTTAGTAGAGATGGTGTTTCGCCATGTTGGTCAGGCTGGTCTCAAACTCCTGATCTCATGAGCAACCCGCCTTGGCCTCCCAAAGTGCTGAGATTACAGGCATGAGCCACCATGCCTGGCTGTGACCCTGTTTTATAAATGCTAAAAAAAGAGGAATTAGTTTTTGTGAAATTTAATTGGAAATTAATTATCTGGATCATCAGAAATATCAAATTAAAAAAACAACTCTTATTTCCAAAGTCTGAAGTCATCCTAAATCACTGTATACTTGAAGGTCAAAATACTTAATAATGCAAAAATTGAGAGTACATTTTCTGAACATTAATAATATATATTAAGTAATGCATATTTATTTTGAGCAGTAAATCTCTGAAGTCTGTGTTATTACTTAGCAGGACTGTTTAAAAAAACACATTGTTTACAGAGAAAGTCTTCCATTTCTTTATTGATATCCACAGGTTTAAGAATGACTGCTATGTAATTTTTAGAAGACAAGAGACTTAATTATTCCAACTGTCAGTTTATTTGTTTAAGACATTACAATCATATAAAAACATCTTTCATTACTATGTTACAGTTTCTACTAAAGATTTATTCACAAATCCTGTAAGAGCATTTTTTAACCTGTAAAAATAACTAGCTTACCTGTTTTTTCCTTTTGTTCTCTATGCCTGAAGAAATGGATAACGTCTTTTGGATTAGCTACCCGATCCACAAATTTCTGGCTAAAGCGAAGAACGTTGAAAGGTTCAAAACCTCCACTATAGTCCACCTGAAAACAAAGAATAAGCTATGAAGACTAAGAAACAACAATTTGCCAATTTTTAAGAAACGGACTAATCCTTCAGTATTCAGTGTTTATGCTTGATACTTTCAAATTTATGAATTAATTTTCTACAATAGATCATGATGGAGCTATATCATTTATCCTATTGAGAAACTAACACTTGAAAAGTTTATAAGCCTAAGCAAAATACTTTGTTGGATATAATCGAGGTATGGCAATAATTTCCACAATGCAGAATGATTATGTATAACACTAATAGTTTAGGTACCTACCACGCAAACCATTTGAAAAGGAGACAGGATTTCTACACAATCTCCTGAACTTTTAAAACAAACAAACACCAAAATAAAATACTAGCCCTAGATACATTAGTAAATTGGTCTATCATCTTAGAGATATGCCTTCACACTACAGAAAGATGAATGCTAGGAAAATCCAGGTAAGAAGAATGATATCTGTGAGCCTTAAGAAATGATTACCTTCAAAACATGGTATCTTACTGAAACTGACAATTTCTCTCAAGGTAGGCTCTTTCTACAGAAGACTACAGTGGTAAACAAACATTTACAAAGAGAAATACCACCTTTCTTTCTCAGAGATATGTTCTCCTAAACTAGCTGTTCTCAAAGTATTCTCTGGGGACCGGCACTGCACCACCTCACAGCTTATCCAGAGAGCTCTCTAACTAAAGTGCTCCCACTTTCACTCATCATCACTATCTGCTAAGGTTTTTTCTTCATTTATTTGTTATTTGTACATTATGTCTCTCTTCATACCTCCACCTCCTATAAGCTCTACGAATTCAAAATCTCATCTGTTTTATTGTCCCTGTATCCTGCAGCATCCATAACAGAAGGTACTTAATAGGATTTATCTAATGAATCCATGAATATCCTTTAGTCAGTACAATGTAGTATTGTAATATTACTTATATGACAATATGTGCTGTCTTATGAATAAATTCGTAATTTATCATGCTTAGGAAAAGAAATGCCAATTTTCTATTTAAGTCTAGTTAGTTCTAATGCTACCAGGCAGACAAAGATGAGAAAATAGGGACATTTTGCCACGGTGAAGAGAACTACGTGATTCCCTTATAGTAATTATTTTTGTATTACCCAGATCATCTCTTCTTTTTTTTTTCTGAGATCGCGTCTCACTCTGTTGCCCAGTCTGGAGTGCAATGGTGCAATCTCGGCTCAATGCAACCTCTACCTCCTAGGTTCAAGTGATTATCATGCTTCAGCCTCCCAAGCAGTTGGGATTACAGGCACATGCCACCATACCTGGCTAATTTTTGTATTTTTAGTCAAGACGGTGTTTCACCATGTTGCCCGTGCTGATCTCGAACTCCTGACCTCTGATGATTCAGATGCCTAGCCCTCCGAAAGTGCTGGGATTACAGGCATGAGCCACTGTGCCTGGCCTCACCCAGACCATCGCTACAGCTACCATGCTATAAAAGAGAAAATACTAAATGCTAAAGCTATTAGGTCTCCCTCTCAAACTCCTCATTTATAAATGTTTGGTCATTAACAAATTTTACCAGATATCCTCAATGTTCTAGATATGCTGCTCAGAGCCAGGGATATAACAACAAATAAATACAATCCTGGCTATCAAGAAATTCACAAGCTGACTGGGAAGACAAACATGTCAACAGATGACTGCAAGCAGAATGTGAGTGGTGCTACAAAAGGTATGTACGAAGTTGAATGAGAACACAAAGGAAGAAGCATGTACTCTGGGGGGAGGTCAAAAAAGCCTTCTTTAAAGAGGGAGGCTTTAGGTGGGTACTGAAGAAGATAGAAAGGAGGAGAGAAGTATGTCCCATGCAGCAGGATCACATGGACAAAGGTTCCAGTGAAATAAACTCCACTGCACCCAAGAAAGAGAAGCTTTTGGTCCAATGAGACTGGAGTTCAGGATGTGACGGGAGGAAAAGGAGTAGCTAAAATGTTTGGTTTAGAACAGATCACGCAGACCCAAGAACGCTACCCTAAAAAGTTTAGACTCTTTCCTGTTAGTGCTAGGGAATAATTAAGTTATTTTTTAGCAGAAAAGACATGCAAAACTGTGTTTTATAAAGAGCATTTTGGCATTAGTGTAGAGAGAGAAGGAAACCGAGGCACAGTCCGGGTAGGAGGCTGCAGCAATAGGCCAGGAAGCATTAATAAAGGCTTCACTACACCAGTGACAGTGGGATAAAGACAAGGGACCAGATTTAGCTATTGTGTACCAGACACTATTTAATCCATTTAGACCTCATAAATCTATGAAGCATTAGGGTAGTGCAGAAATAACTGCAGTTTTTGCCATTACTTTCAATGACAAAACCTGCAAAAACTTTTGCACCAACCTAATGCAAACCAAGGGATGAGAGATGCAGTTGCTTGAGGTCATACAACTGGTGGTTGGGCCAGAATGAAGCTCAGGAAGTCTGGCTCTAGATTGTACTCTTTACCTCTATAGTCTACGTCCCAGGACTTCTCAAATTTTAATGTGCATATACATTTCTTGGAGATTTTTGTTAAAATACAGTGGGTCTGATGCAGGGCCTGAGACTCTGCATTTTAAAAAATTTCCCAGGTGACAACAACACTGCTGGTCTAAAGACTACACTCCTCAGTACCAGGCTTTAGGGGGCCCTTGCAGATACAGAACAACAAGGAAGTCTAAATAAAGACTTAGAAGCCATCACTCTATTGGTGGTCATTAAACCTGTATGCTTAGACTGAAAAGAGGGCTAACGATGAGATAGGATGGGATACAGATAATTCAGAGCATGCCCAAGAGTAATTCAGCAAGATGAGACACGATTTAACAATTAAAGATCATCTTTTCCACTGGCTATGAAATCAGAGCCTTGGTTATAGTGAACCGAGGAAGAGAAAGTTAGATGACAGCTATAGGTTACATACTTTTAGGGGCTTTGAAAGAGAGTAAGACGGGGTAGGTGTTCGGAAAAGGGAAAAGCATAGTGGCAAAGTGTTGTGTTTCTTTAACATGATAGAAAGGATATGCAGATTTATAGGTTCAGGAAATAATCTAAACAATAACCAAAACAAACTGTACAAAGTAGATTAGAAGGATGTGTTATAGGAAAAAAATAAGAAAAAAAGCGGAAGCAGAAGAAGGTAAGTGAAATCAGAAGCACCAGAAAAAAGGTAGGGGCTGCAATCTTGATGGTGAAGCCTCAGTGAGGTGACATGGGGGCAGACTAAAGGGAGATAAGAGCAGGTCCCATATGCCCGAGAAAGTGCAAAAAGGCCAAGGAGACTGGAATGAACTGAGTAGAGGAGGGTAGTTAAAGATGAAGTCAGAGAGCTCAGCCAATCTATTAAATATAACAACAAATTATAAAGAAAACGAGAAAAATAAGTTACCAAACCTATCACTTAAACTGTGATTAACTCAAAGCCTTATACCTTTGCTTTTGTCTCCAATGGTGATTGCTTGTCTTATTACGAGCACTCTCCTCACAACTTTTCAAAGAAACCATGTAAACTGTACATTACTATGCTTTGAAAATTAATAATGTTCAATTTGTATAAATAGGACTTACTCGTAGTCGTACAAGAGGCTTCTCTGGCTGGTGAGAATTCCCCAGACGTTCCCGTTCAGCATTTTCAAGCATTTCTTCAATCTCAAAATTTTTAAAAAGATTAAAAAACAAAGTGGTAAATATAGTTTAACTTGGCTGAATAGCAGCTTAAAATCACAGGAATTTTCCTGAACTACATAATCACCTTTATTTCTTAGGTCACTTTTGACACCTTTTAAAATATACCTTCTTGTAATGCTCCTTTAATACTATTTCTTAATGTTTTTCTTTCATGAAAGTTTTTAATAATTTTTCAATCTCTATTTTAGAATCAAATTTAAAATACTACTACTCATGTTTCAATTTTCTATTCATGTTTCAAGAAGGCTTCCCTCATCTTACCAAATTAAAACCAAGTAAGTTTAGTTTTTCAGTCATATGATCCATGGGAGGCTCACCAGAATATTTAGGGATCTATAAGCAAGGACTTTGGATTATTTATCTTGGAAGAGTTCAAGGTAAAAGAAAAGACGACTGATGTTTTCAAATATCTGGATTTATCTCATACTCTGAGAGGACAAGATAATAACATCTTAAACTTGTAAGAGATCTGAAGACAAAAGCACTTGTTCTATATTGTTCTTAAGGGGAAGACCAAGTTACAAGGAGACGGTATTAGATTCTTTTCACAACTTGTTGTGTGCACAGTGATTAGCTATCTTCAGATGGCCAACTTCATAGCTGAACAATTCTAGTTCTTAGGAAGTTCTTGTGTTGGAACAAAAACTGCCTTCTTATAACTTGGTTCTGATCTCAAGAACAATATAGAAAGGCTGCTTTTGTCCTCAGATTTCTTTCACATCTAGATTTTATAATCTTATCCTTTAAATTATCTGTAACAATGAAGTTTAAAATAACTTTCTGCAATGATTTTTTTATATGTGCATATTCAATATGGTTATGTAGATATAAAATACTTGAAATGTTGGTAGTACAAGTGAGAAACTAAATTTTAAATCTAAATTTAATTAATCACATGTAAATAGCCACATGTGCTAGTGACTACCATATCAGACAGCACAGAGGAGATCTATAAGAACATGATCTCCTAGGTCAATTATTTCAATTCAACAAGCATTTACAGAGCATCTTTTTGCCAGGTACTAGGTCCAGTGCTGAGACAGAAGAGAAAGATAGGGGGCCTGTCCTCAGAGTTCAGAAGAGATTCATATGCTTATAAATAATAATATAACTTACCAAAGTAAGAAAACAGAAAGTTATATGCACCTCTGGTGTTTAAAATGAACCTCTATTACTTTTAAGTCGCCAGCATCTGGATTTATGTTACCAAAGCCCACAGAATTTAGAAGTTCATCCAGTGGACCTCAATCAGAGGTGATTTTGCTTCTCTAAGGACATTTGGCAAGGTCTGTAAACATGTTTGATTGTCGTGACCAGTTAGAAGGGGTACTACTGGCATCTAGTGGGTACAGGCTACAGAGAAAACTGCTAAACATCCCATAGTGCACAGAACTGCCTCCCACAACAAAGAATTGTTAGTTAAAAATGTCAACTAAGCCAAGGTTGAGAAACCCTGGGCTGACTTCAGGGAAGGGCACATGACTCAGGCCTGGATCAGTCAGTGCAAAAGCAATTAATGCATTTCCTATCTTTCTGGCTTCAGAGATTGGATTTAGGGAGATTTGGGAGTTTTAACCTACGTTTGAGTTTGGAGTCAATCATCTTGAAACCAGCACACACTTTAGCTACGTTAGCTACATATTGCTCATAAACCTGTGACACTGAATGAGTCACCTTATCTAAGGTTCAGTTCCTATAAACTATAGATAGTAGAACCTATCCACATAAAGCATTGTTGGCTAGATTAAATGCTGTCAATGGTGCACCTCACATAAAGTCAGTAAATATCACTAGGCATAATTATTATCATTGTTACTATATTACATGATTTTTCACGAAAATAAAACATAAAATAGGACAGTTGACAGAGAGCAAGAACTGAGTGTCGGCAAATGGTACTAATTAAGCTGTCAACCCATGTATTATTATTAAATGGATTCATCTACCCAACCTCAGTAGTGGCTCGATTTTCTACAGAGATTTAGGGGCAGAAATCTGCATAGAGAGGGAGGTTTGGGACTTACTTTGCAGCAAGAGGGTGCATAGCAAACATATTTTTCACATTTTATTTGGGGTAGCTTTCAGGGCAAAAGGGACACCTAATACAGATTATTAGAGACTAAGGCTTTTCCCACACACAATATTCTTTCATTTCTCAGTCAAAGTCACTGCCTGCTTTCATAAATAAAATGAACAAATCATCAAATCAAGATTCAAAAGGAGAAAAGCATATTTCTCAAGATGGCCGAATAGCAACAGCTACAGTCTGCAGCTCCCAGCGAGATCAACACAGAAAGTGGGTGATTTCTGCATTTCCAACTGAGGTACCCAGCTCATCCCATTGGGACTGTTTAGACTGTGGATGCAGCCCAAAGAGGGCAGGCAGAAGCAGGGTGGGGCACTGCTACACCTGGGAAGCGGAAGGGGTAGGGAAACTCCCTCCCCTAGCCAAGGGAAGCCGTGAGGGACTGTGCTGTGACGAATGGTGCACTCCGGCCCAGATACTATGCTTTTCCCAAGGTCTTTGTAACCTGCAGACCAGGAGATAACCCTGGGTGCCTATACCACCAGGGCCTGGGTTTCAAGCACAAAATTGGGCAGCTGTTTGGGCAGATACTGAGCTAGCTGTAGGAGTTTTTTTCATATCCCAGTGGCACCTCCAACACCATCAAGACAGAACTGGTCACTCCCTGGAAAACGTGCTGAAGCCAGGGAGCCAAGTGGTCTAGCTCAGCAGATACCACCCCCACTGAGCCCAGCAAGCTAAGATCCACTGGCTTGAAATTCTCGATGCCAGCATAGCAGTCTGGAGTGGACCTGGGACACTTGAGCTTGGTAGGAGTATGGGCGTCTGCATTACTTAGGCTTGAATAGGTGGTTTTCCCCTCACAGTGTAAACAGACCTATCTGGAAGTTTAAACTGGGCAGAGCCCACCACAGCTTGGCAAAGCTGCTGTACCCGGACTGCCTCTCTAGATTCCTCCTCTCTGGGCAGGGCATCTCTATCTCTAAAAGAAGAAAGCGGGAAGGATCTATAATCGACATCCTAGCATCACAATTAAAATAATTAGAGAAGCAAGAGTAAATAAATTCAGATGCTAGTAGAAGACAAGAAATAAGATGAGAGCAGAACTGAAGGAGAGAGAGACAAGAAAAACACTTCAAAAAAAAATAAATGAATCCAGGAACTGGTTTTCTGAAAAGATTAACAAAATAGATAGACCGCTAGCCAGTCTAATAAAGAAGAAAAAAAACAGAAATACAAACTACCGTCAGAGAATACTACAAGCACCTCTATGCAAATAAACTAGAAAATCTAGAAGAAATGGATAAATGCCTGGATACACACACCCTCCCAAGACTGAACCAGGAAGTCCCTGAATAGATCAATAACAAGGTCTGAAATTGAGGCAGTAATTAATAGCCTACCAACCAAAAAAGCCCAGGACCAGAAGGATTCACAACCGAACTCTACCAGAGGTACAAAGAGGAGCTGGTACCATTCCTTCTAAAGCTATTCCAAACAATGGAAAAAGAGAGAATCCTCCCTAACTCATTTTATGAGGCTAGCATCAACCTGTTACCAAAACCTAGCAGAGACACTATCAAAAAATAAAATTTCAGGCCAATATCCTTGATGAACATCGATGCAAAAATCATCAATAAAATATTGGCAAACAAAATACAGCAGCACATCAAAAAGCTTATCCACCATTATCAAGTCAGCTTCATCTCTGGGATGCAAGGCTGGTTCAACATATGCAAATCAATAAACATAATCCATCACATAAACAAAACCAATGACAAAAACCACATGATTATCTCAATAGACGGAGAAAAGGCCTTCAACAAAATTACACCTCTTCATGCTAAAAACCCTCAACAAGCTAGGTATTGATGGAATGGATCTCAAAATAATAAGAGCTATTTATAACAGACCCACAGCCAATATCATACTGAACGAGCAAAAGCCGGAATCATTCCATTTGAAAACTGGCACTAGACAAAGATGCCCTCTCTCACCTCTCCTACTCAACATAGTATTGGAAGTTCTGGCCAGGGTAATCAAGCAAGAGTAAGAAATAAAGGGTATTCAAATAGGAAGAGAGGAAGTCAAACTGTCTCTCTTTGCAGATGACAGGACTGTATATTTAGAAAATCCCATTATCTCAACCCAAAATCTGAAACTGATAAGCAACTTCGGCAAGGTTTCAAAATTAATGTGCAAAAATCACAAGCATTCCTATACACCAATAATAGAGAGCCAAACCATGACTGAACTCCCATTCACAACAGCTACAAAGAGAATAAAATGCCTAAGAATACAACTTACAAGAAATGTGAAGGACATCTTCAAGGAGAGCTACAAACCACTGCTCAAGGAAATTAAGAGGGGGCTTAAACAAGTGGAAAAACATTCCATGCTCATGAAAAGGAAGAATCAATATCATAAAAATGGCCATACTGTCCAAAGTAATTTATAGATTTAATACTATCCCCATCAAGATACCACTTACTTTCTTCACAGAATTAGAAAAAAAAACCACCTTAAATTTCATATGGAACCGAAAGAGAGCCCACAGAGCCAAGTCAATTCTAAGCAAAAGAACAAAGCTGGAGGCATCACGCAACCTGACTTCAAACTATACTACAAGGCTACAGTAATCAAAACAGCATGGTACTGGTACCAAAACAGAGATATAGACAAATTGAACAGAACTGAGGACTCGAATGAACACCACACATCTACAACCATCTGATCTTTGACAAACCTGATAAAAACAAGCAATGGGAAAAGTATTCCCTATTTAATAAATGGTGTTGAGAAAACTGGCTGACCATATGCAGAAAACCAAAATTGGACCCCTTCCTTACACCTTATACAAAAATTAACTCAAGGTGAATTAAAGACTTAAACATTAAAACCTGGAACCCTAAAAACCCTAGAAGAAAATCTAGACAATACCATTCAGGACATAGGCATAGGTAAAGACTTCATGACTAAAACACCAAAAGAAATGGCAACAAAAGCCAAAATTGACGGATGGAATGTAATTAAACTAAAGAGCTTCTGCACAGAAAANAAAAAAAAAAAAAAAAAAAAAAAAACTATCTTCAAAGTAAACAGGAAACCTACAGAATGGGAGAAAATTTGGCCATCTATCCATCTGACAAAGGGCTAATATGCAGAATCTAAAAAGAACTTAAATTTACAAGAAAAAAACAACCCCATCAAAAAGTGGGCAAAGGATATGAATGGACACTTCTCAAAAGAAGGCATTTATGTGGTCAACAAACATCTGTAAAAAAGCTCATCATCACTGGTTATTAGAGAAATGCAAATCAAAACCACAATGAGATGCCATCTCACACCAGTTAGAATGGTGATCATTAAAAAGTCAGGAAACAACAGATGCTGGAGAGGATGTGGAGAAATAGGAATGCTTTTACACTGCTGGTGGGAGTGTAAATTAGTTCAACTATTGTGGAAGACAGTGTGGCAATTCCTCAATGATCTAGAACCAGAAATATCATTTGACCCAGCAATTCCATTACTGGGTATATACACAAAAGATTATTATAAAGACACACGCACACATATGTTTATTGCAGCCCTATTCACAACAGCAGAGACTTAGAACCAAGCCAAATGCCCATCAGTGACAGACTGCATAAATATGGCACATATACACCATGGAATACTATGCAGCCATAAAAAAGGATGAGTTCATGCAGGAACCTGGATGAAGCTGGAAACCGTCATTCTCAGCAAATCAAACACTGCATGTTCTCACTCATAAGTGAGAGTTGAACAGTGACAACACATGGACATGAGAGGGGAATATCACACACCGGGACATGTCAGGGGGTGGGAAGCTAGGGGAGGGATAGCATTAGAAGAAACACCTAATGTACATGACAGGCTGATGGGTGCAGCAAACCACCATGGCACGTGTATACCTATGTAACAAACCTGCATGTTCTGCCCATGTATCCCAGAAATTAAAGTATAATTAAAAAAAAAAAAAAGGAAAAAAGATTATCTATTATTTTTCTGAAAAGGAAGAAAAAAACTAGGCGCGGAATTTAAATAAAGATTTTTTTTAACATCCAGTATTACCCTCTCTCAATGACTTTAAAAAATGTCTTGGACACAATTAAACACGTTCACTGAAGAACAGTGGTTCCTTACAGGCTTCATGAGAATATAATCAATATAAAGGCTTCTCTCTACTCTATTAAAAATTATTTAATTGAAGGTGAATAATTCTTCAACTAAAGTAGATTTCACTGATTTTATCAAAAAGAATTACCTTCTCCAAACAGAAGCTTTGTATGGCTTGGGTTACTTTAGGATTATCTGGGTTAAAAATGTCTGGATGATTAGCTAGAACAATATCCTCCATGAAAAACTGCCGTACTGTGTGAAGAGGAATTTTCTGCATATTCATCTTCCTCCCTTTAACACGCAGCAAACCAACATGTCTGAAATGAGAGAAACGAACACCGAGTCACAGTGTAAATTTCCTCAGGAACGTGTGCACATCAAAGTGATCATATTTCCTAGTTTCTACAAAATGTTTATTTATAAAATCATACTCTTGAAAATAAATGTTTCTGGTAATTTAACCTTAATGTTATCATCACAGGAAAAGATGGTAGACATTTTCCTTCCCCAGAGTAAAACTGAGTCATCCATATTATTCTTGTCTGGTCAGTCTTGTAAGGCTAGGCAGACATAACAATAAGTATAATAAAATTTTATCAGGACTATGATGGTAGTATATGTAGACTATACTATTACACCTATGTACCTATGTATATGTACATATATGTACACAAATAAACAAAATGATTTTTGCAGTGGACTCATGAAGAAAAAAAAACAATGAAAATAGATCCTATGACCATATGATTTAACCCTATTATCATTATAACAATCAGAGCTCAAGTGATTCAAAGGATAAACCCCATAATAAAAACTGAGTTTAATCAGTGTTAACTATTTTTTTTTTTTTTTTTTTTTTTTT